GGAGGAGGCAAAACACGGCAAATAAACGCACCGGGAGGAGCCGGCATCGCCCGCCGGTATCGCTCGAGAAGGCGCCGGTAAGCGCTAGCCGCTTATGGCGGGAGCGGGAAGGCCCCCGGATGAGAAGCATTCTAGCCGGACTCCTCTATTGAGAGAAGTAAGCGGCGAGAACGAGTAACAATAAGCATGCATATGGATCGGAGGTAGTAAAGACGAGCCCAAACGGAGGCGAAACAACATAAGCAAGAGACCGGATTCAAAGCGGTTAGTAAGTACGGAGGAGCACCCGGACGGTCGAAAAGACCGAGTCGAGGAACCCATCGGCGAGTAACAACCGGACTAGGAGAGACCGAAGGTGAACCGACCGAGAAGTAGATCAAATCTAGCCAACATGCGGGATGTGGTGGTCTAACTTATGATAATAGAAGATCATGTAAAAAAGAATCTAAAATTTTTGAAACACATTGTCCACCAACCTCGACGAAGCATAAAAAACTCTTATATTTCGTTCCTTCCAGATTACATAAATTGTGGTACGAAGGGCCACTCTTCTCATTCTTGTTTCAAGATTGTTACGAAGATAGCAAAGACCTCCGATAAAACTATTTAGCGTAGTCATACCTCTTCTAATCCGTAGTCACCTCTTGATTCTCAACCATAGGAGCTACAAGAGAAGAATAGATGGTTATGTGACTCATTGGCTTGGTTACAAAAGAGACATGCAACACCGATGAGAAGAAACGAGAGACGGTCTTTGGTTTTTAGTGCACCCCTAGTAGCAAGCCATAGAATAAATGCATGCCTCTGTAGGGACCGGGACTCCTAAATCACCTTGCCCCAGCTAACGGAGGCCCTCGTATGTCGAAGTCGGGAATAAGCTATACGAGAGAAGCTACCCTCTCCTAAGTTTCACTTTGTAAGCTCTCTAATAGTATCGTCACGTGCTTTCATATTTCACAATAAGCAAATCTTTCAAATCGATTAAAGCTTTCCACAATGGTGAAGCATTATGATGGGCTTCGACATCCCACACCCGACGATTTTACAAGTAGAAATGGTGGATCCATCGGATCCAAATGGAGTCAACTTTGAGGTGTAGACTTTTCACCATGAAACATTGATTTCTCACTTTGATGTCAAATAAGCCTAAGCCACCTTCCAATGTGGGGAGACAAAGGCTTTTCCAAGCCACTAAAGCCGAAGAGCTCCTATTAACATCTCCGAGTCCAAAGAAAGTTTCTACACATACCGGTGATACGAGCAATAACGACAACGGGCATAGGAAAAATAGCTATCCGGAATTAGAACATACCGAAAAGGACCGACCTTAAAAGCGCTAGCCTACCCGCATAGGAGAGGTGCTTACCCATCCGGCTACTGGATCGCGGATTCCGAATTTGTAACAAAGGGGCAAGCCGACTAGCCAACAAGCGATGAGGGCTCGGAGGGACTCCTAGGTACTTAAATGGGAAAGAACCCTCACTGAACCCGGTTTCACAAAGGATTGAATTTTTCAAGTCTCTCGCCCACCCCATCGAAAAAAATCAAAGACTTGATCACATTGATGTTGAGGTTGGATGTTCGACCAAAGAGGGATAGTTGGTAAGAGAGAATTCGACGGAGGCAACATCCCCACGACAAAACAACAAAACATCATTTGTAAAGGCCGAGTGGGTAATAACATGGATCCTACATTTTGGGTAGAAGTGGAAGTCAAAGTTCCCGGTGACAACCTTTAGTAAGCGGGAGAAATATTCCATGCACACCACAAAAAGATAAAGAGAAAGAGGATCTCCTTGCCTAACGTCCGCTTTACCCGAAAAGAATCCAAAAAGGCTCCCGTTGACGAGAGATGGAATAAGAAGCCGACTCAACACATGCACTAATCCAATTAACAAATAGAACCAGGAAACCCAACTACAAGAGAAGTCATTTCGGGAAAACTCACTACATAGAGTCAAAAGCCTTTCTAAAATCAATCTTCATCGAGCACCTAGAAGAAGCTCGTTTTCGACCATACATGTGAAGCAACTCTTGAACCAAGTTAATATTGTCGGATATTTTCCTCCCTCCCAAGAAGGCATTCTGCATAGGAATAACGATATCCGGAAGAGCATAGGAGAGCACTGGAGGAAATAATCTTAGAAATCACCTTATAAATAATATTGCAACAAGAGATGGGCCTATAGTTGCTTGGTGAAGTAACATTTGCCATTTTTAGGACCAAAGTTATAACCGAATGGTCGACTCGTTTCAAGAGCTTCCCAAACACAAAGAAATCCTTAACCACTGCATAAAAGTCCTTTCTAATAATATCCCAAGCCTACTTGAAGAAGAAAGAAGAGTACCCATCGGGACCCAACACTTTGTCATTTTCAATGCTGAACAAAGTTTTCTTGATGGCATCATCGGTGACCGGGGCAAGGAGCATGCCATGGCTATCCATGTGTAATCGAGGCCCGCTAGCAATAGTATTCGGGTCTAGAGGGATAGTAGCCGTGGGTGTACCCAAGAGGCTTTGATAGAAAGATACAAACTCTTCTCCCACCTCTTGTAATGAGGTAGTAAGTCACCCATCACTCGCTCTTAATTGTCGATATGTGGTTGCTTTTGTGCTTCGATTCATAAGGCCATGAAAGAAGCTAGTACCTTTGTCACGAGTCCTTTAAGAACTTGCACTTTAATTTCGACCAAAAAACATCATTTCCAAAGTCTTAAGACCAACCAAATTCCACCTAAGCCGTTGCTTATCCTCGCGTAGCCCTAAATTATCCCTATCATTTTATAGTGCAACTCGAAGAGCGACCAATTCGATTCACGCCGAGCCACTCTTTTAGAAATATGATTGAAGTGGAGCTTGTTCATCAACTTGAGAGGCTCCTTGAGCATTTTCAACTTCCGATAGAGGACATATATGGGGGTGCCTCCGATTCCGGCTCCCCAAAAATCAGCCATAACTTGATGAAAATCAACATGGCCGACCCACATATTAAAGAACTTGAAACTCCTATTTTTGAAATGAACATGAGAGCTCAATTTAACCGAAACTAAAGCATGATCGAAAAAGCTCTCGGGGTGTTGAAATGAATATGAGCGAGGTAGCGAGTGGAGGATCAAAGAGGGTTAGTTAAAACTCTGTCAATTTTAGACCATACATCCGCCCCATTCCAAATGAAATGGCTCCTCGTGTAGTTAGGTCGGTTAACCCGAGGTCCGAGCAACAAGTTCGAAAGTCATTAGTCTCATAGGTAGAGACGACTTATCCACTTGAGAGAGAATCGAGTTGAAGTCACCCAAAATAAGGCGAGAGGCAATTCGGCTTCCACTAATGGAGATCCTCCCACAACTCTCGTCTAACAATGATGGAGTGTAACTCATAAACAAAAGTGGCATTAAAGGAAGTTTGCTTGTATAAGATCGGTAATCCTAACATTCAACATATCAACCATAACGGTTACGGGGTTCCAAAAAGAGCAATACGGGCTTTACTCGCCATCGTAGCATTAGACAAAAAGCTCCATTACTTGAGCCAAATCCTGTGCATACTGGCAAGCTTAGCCGTACTTAATTTAGTTTCCACGAAGGCACAACCATCTAACCTCTTTTTCTTCATGAGACTAGTCGCCTCATGCTGCTTCGGAGGGCTATTAAGCCCTCCGACATTCTAGCCGAATATGATCATGGATAAGTCGAAGAGGCTAGACCCCTTCGCCCCTTCTTACGCTTGTTCTTCCCGCTGATGGCAGCGCGTCCACGACCCAATTTCACCGACAATTTGCTTTTCATTACGGATGCGGGAAACATTGGCTTGGCCACAAGAGAAGCCGTAACATAATCATAGTCGACCTCATTGTCAATAACGAGTCCACGTTGCGGTAGTCCCGGACCGGTCTCTCGGTTTCCCTTTAAATAACGATCCTTACTCTAGCGACCTCGGATCCGTCTTGAGAACCATTTCGACGAGTAGCACGAACAGGCCCATCCTAAGCTTCCCGACCACTTGGACCGGCGGCCCCAACAATTGGGCTACCCGGCCTACCACGGTCATTCCCGTTACTTCCGCCACCCCGGGCCTAGTAACCTCGATTGGATCATGATCAAGGGTTGGAGCCGGACCGGTTTTAGATTCAAGCATCACGGTTTTACCTTTATTAAGAACCACGTGGGTGGTATTGTTTTTCCTTGATTGTCTCCCACGCCTTGGAGAGCAACTTCTATGAGCATAGGGTCTTTATGTGATTGGACATCGACAAGGCCGGCGTTGGTCGATTCTCTCGGCTTTTGAATCACACTTTTCTCGGCTTGTCCTCCGGCGGCCTCACCGATATCCATGGTGTCCTTACTCAATTCCGGGGTTGGCTAAGATTTGCACACGGCTATGGAATGTCCAAGGACTCGGTATTTTTTACAATGGATTGGGAGAGATTCATACACAACTAGTTGTAGGAGGGTTGTGCCATTCGGTAGCAAGATGCTAATAAACCATGGTAAGGTTTTCATAATATTCATTTCCATAAGAACTCTAGCATAAGAGAGACGATCCATTGAAGGTCGTCAACCTATCGCATTGGAATGGTTTGCCAAGCAAACTAGCGATCTTCGATAAACACATTGTTTACCAACATTTTAACGAAAGGTTCGAAAACTTAACCCAAATTGGGATAGTGGCCATCTTGACATTAGAGAAATCAAAATACTCGGACATTGGCCTCAAAATCAAAGCTCTGCCATAAATCAAATAAGGCCCCCCATTAAGCATCGAAACCTTATCTTTTTTGGAATGGAATTTGTAAATGAGCCAGCTGATTCATGAATTGTTAGAGAAGCCTCACATTTCCAAGTATCTTTTATGATTCCATTTAGAGCTCGAAAGGTTGGATACTTACCGACAACATATCCAACCAAACAACATTTCCATAATTCACATTTTGCATCATCATTAAGTATAATGCATTTTTTTGATTCGGTGATACCCGAAAAATGAGACGAGTTTAGGACACATGGCTGAATTTCTATTACTTATAAACAAGTCTCTCCATCTCCCGGCTAGACGAGCAAGGTTTGTGGCATCTCCTACTTTGGACATATCACAAGCATTGGCCTCATTCAGCCACGAAGTGGAGGGCGCTTCGCCATTGGTAGTGACTCGATGGGGGGCTTTTGCCATTAGCGCTTGGGGGTTAGCTAGGCACCCCGAGCCGACAGTGCCGCCGGTGAGGGGGGCATCCGAAGCCATAGCCTTAGGAGAAGGAGGTGCGGGTCGGCATTGAACCATGAGGGTTGAACAAGTATAGATTATAGATTTGGCGAGAGTCTATAGCTTCCCTAGAGCCCGGAGTGGAGGAGGTGCTCGGAAGAATCTGGGCGAGAGCCAAGCTCCTCATCGGAATGCGAGAAATCCACTACGTCCTCACTGAAAGCTTCCTCTTCTAAACGGTCCTCGACCTCTACAAGCTGTTGGGTTATCTGCGGGAACGGGATTTGTGAAGGGGGGTCTGCTGGGAGTGTCGAGTCGGTAGTTAGGGTTTTGTGCAAGAGGGGTGATGGGGGAACCAAATGCTGTCAAAGGGGGACGAGTGCATATAAAGCAACAAGGGCTATGATGGGATCCTCGAGCCATGCCCTAGAAGCGATCCTAGTAGGGTTAGTGATAGGTTTCTTTTTCTTTTTTTCCATTGGAGAAAAAGGGAAGCAAATCGGGGAGAGAGAAAGTGGGGAAATGAGTGAGTGGGTAGAGAAATGGTGTAGGGGTTAGAGAGAAGGTAGAAACTAAATGTGAAAAAGAGATCTATGGCGGTCTCAACAATAGCGTGCCGGATCTAGAGGGAAATAGCTCTATGGAAAGAGGAGAGCGTCTCTCTCTTCTTTCTCACTCTTGGCCACTAGACCAAAAACTCAATTTTATTGTGGTCGGTACGTGCTAAAACTCTCTTCCCTCTTTCTCTCAAAAGTTGCGGCTCTCACTCATTTTCTTTTATTTTTCTCTATTGCTTCTTCCTTAATCTGATTTCAAAATAAAAGAGAAAGATAGGTTTTATTTAGAAATATCAAAATTACCCTTTAAGTGATTAAAAATTCCTCCTTCACATGGGCTTCGAGATTGGGCTCATGTAGGTAAACTTTTGGGTCATCCTATAACTAGAAGGGAAACCTAACATCAACAACACAACTTAACGTGACCATAAGTAGATCTTCCTCCATCGATATCTATGGCCGATCATGATCTTTTAACTACTTAGAGGCAAGTTCATGAGAAACAAAATACTAATCTCTTTTTATTAGAAGCTCATTCTTTTTCAAGCCAATATCAATATTATAAAAAATAAAGATGGAAAATATGGACAAGAACAACTTCTTCTCAAACATAATTATCTTTAATAAAATGATACAATCAACGATAGATCGTTTCGCTAAAATTAACAACTCTACACTACTTTAAAAACATTTAATTATTGGGGAGCGAGTTAATACATAAACCAATGACTTTGCTTCTACTACCTCTAGAGGTATAACCATAGATTGCTAGACTACTTGCATCGATTGGACAATGTGTAACTTGGTCCATCCAACACCTCTCATGAATCCATACTATATCGCTATGCCTAAGATAACTACGCCATATCCTGTACCACTTGCCACCACATCGGTATGGCCAACATGGTGGGGTCTTTTTTTGCACTAAATGCTTATCTCCCACCTTTATCTCTTTACCAAATTGTTGCTATCCGACATTGGATGAGACTCCTGAAAAAAATTCTAAAGATTTAAGCATTGTATGGATGATTTGTTATGGGGATGTGAGTTATTATTTAGTTTAGAGTTATCACCTAGTATTAAAAAACTAAGAATCTAAAAATAATGCTAGTACGAGAGATTTTTGATCAAGGAGTTGGTTATGCTTTAGGAAGATATTGATCACCCAAAGACATCCTTTCTTAAGAAAGGTATCACGTTTAGTTTAGTCCTAAATTCATCTTATGAATTATTTTATTTGTGTCAAGTTATTTTCAATTTAATCTCTAATTTCCACATTGAATTAAGTTTTTTAGCTTTTGACGTGACATTGTATTGAAACAATTGTCGGCCTCCTTCGTTGGATGACACGTCGGTTTAAACATTAGATCCACTTTTAGCATCAATATAACCGAGTGTGTTAAAGAACATCTTAATTATTAAATGTTGATGACGTATTTTTTTAACTAACAACGAGTCCTTATTAGATCGGAGACTTTGTTAGGAAAAATTATTATTATGTTTTTTTTTATTAATGACGAGCCCTATCAAATTGGAGACTTCATTAAAAATTTTAATTAATTTAATTTATGGAGGGGGAACCGTCATCGATCCATAAGAATTAGGAGACTCGACATTTCATCCACCTATTAACTATTAATCTAATTATTGACATTCGCTCAACTATTAACTAATAAACTAATTTGGAAATAAAATCCTAAAATTAAAATTAATTATTAATTTTTCTTGTTTTTTTTTATCATTTTTAATTTTTTTATTTTTTTATCGATGAGGAATCGTTATTAGTCTCTAAGAATTAGAAGAGTCAACAATTCGCCCACTTGTTAACTACTAAACTAATTTTGAAACAAAATCTTAAAATTAAAATTAAATATTAATTTTCCTTTTTTTATTTATATTTTTTTCAATTATTTGCGATTAAAAAAATTATCATTAGTCCCTAAAGATTAGGAGACTCGATAATTCTTTTATCATATAATTATCTAACCTAATTGCTAAAATAAATTCTAAAATTTAAGGTTAATTAAATAAATTCCAAAGAAAAAAAACATCTAAAAAAATTAAATCTAAATTAATGTGAAAAAAGTAAAAAAAAAAAAAACATGGAGAAAAAAATATTCGGATTTAAGTTATCTAAACGAAATCAAAACATGTAAAAAAAAAAAAAATTCCTATTAGGCCACAAACCTATTAGTTCAAGCCATTGGCCTTACCACCTATCCTTCTTTTCTTTTCTTTTTGGTCTAACTGGATTAATTCTAGTTTCTTATCCCGATTCTTCTTCTTCTTCTTGCTTCTTATTATTATTTGGTGGCGAAGCTTCTTTTCTTTTTGGTCTAACTGGATTAATTCTAGTTTCTTATCCCGATTCTTATTCTTCTTCTTCTTCTTCTTATTATTATTTGGTGGCGAAGCTAGATTGAAACTAGATTCTGCTTGGTTTTTTTTTTTTTTTTTTTTTTTAAGAAAGGCTATACTTAGGGCTAGGTAGAGGTCGAAAGTAGCTCGGCTTTCGTTCCGTGTGGGTTGGGCTTAGCCCAACTCACGTCACTCTCTTTTCTTTAAAAGGAACTCCTAGGTTAGACCTTAAGCCTACAAACAAACCCCATTTCCTTCCTTTTCATTTTTTTGATCAAAACAAAGATTTTCAAGCTCCCGACCCTCTCTTCCTCCCATTCTTCAAAGTTTCTTTTATTCTTCATTTTCTTTCTCTTCCTTACATTCTCTAGAAATCAAATCTTGCTTTTAGAACAAAAGTTAATTGTCTAAGTTGCTTTCATTTTCTCATCTCAAAACGGAATTGAACTCGAGGCTTAAATAACGAAAGAAATTTTAATGATAGTAATAAAGTAAATGAAAACTGGGGAAAAAAAGAAAAAAAAGGACCAAATATGTTTGAAAAAAAAAACACAAGTGATTGTTGCTTTATAAGATGGGTGGATGAAAATGAAGTGTGAGGATGACTTATAGGTGACAAGAGAGTTTACAATTGGTGTTGATTGCTTCGACAATAACTGGAATTCAAGAAATGAAACCCGAAATATGAGCACGAAGAATAATTGAAGAATAGATGAAGCTGCTTCCCATAAAAGGTTGAAAGAAAATTAAAAAACTTCAAATTAGAACCGAGAAAGCATGAATAACGAGTTGAACAACCCACGAAACTCAAAACTAAACCTAGAAAATGCAAGAAAAACCCAATTTAAGAACCTCCAAGTGAAGAACACCTGCCTAGAATTGAAGAACACGAAGAACACTACCTAGAATTTTATAGAAAAATGCTATTGCCCAAAATCAAAATTTTTAATTTGTTTTTTGACTTTCACTCTCTTTATAACCCAAAATTCAAACTCCTTTTTTTGTCGTCCTCTCTTTCTAGCCAACATAAGCCTTTTATAGGTAAGAATTTACTCAAATCGCTTCGCAAGATCGATCCGATCAATCATAGATTTCAATTGCTAAATATCAAATCGACATTTGATTAGCTAAAATAAGAAAAGCTGAATCGGTGAGGCATGGTTCTTTGCTTGGTATCAATTCCGACTAAGAATCATAGTGAACGTAATTCAAAAAAACATAACTAGGGGATGATTTGAAAAGTTTGATGAATAATCTTCAAAGAGATTTTTGGATTAGAAGGGACGACGAGTCGTCTACTTGATTTAGTCCTATGATTCGATCCAAAGTTCTAATTTGGCCTCTGTACATTTTAATTGTCTACAATCATGTCCTTTTCTATGGAATTTCAGTCCTTATAAAGTGTAATTTTTTTAATTGAGGTCCCCATATAGTGTAATTTAAGTTTTGAATTTTCTAAATGATTCAATTGTACCCCTAATCACTTTAATTACACTTTCTTTTAATGCAATTATGTCCATGGATAAATTTTTTTGTATTTTTTATATGTTTTCCTTTTTGTATTTTTTTAATCATTTTTATATTTTTTTTAGTTTTAAAATAAACTCCAAAATCAAATCAAAATAAAATAAAATAAAACAAAATAAAATAACAAATAAATAACAAAAAAATATGGAGAAATTTTTTTGTTATGATAGTTACCCTTTGTTATGGCCCAAAGTCTAATGAAAAAGATGTTTTTCAATGACTTTGTTTGCTAAGCTTGTAATTTTTTTTTTAAAGGTTGGTTGATTGTTACGAGTGATTAAACTTGAAAGTAAAGTTTTGATGGGATGACCTTATTATGAAAGTTGACTCGCCTAAAAATCAAATATGTAGTGTATAGTAATATTAAAGGGCGGCACTGTCCTGCGAATTAAATATGCGGTACTTGGGTAAATTGAAAGACGACATCGTCCCGAAAATTAAATAGGCGATACATGACCAAATTGAAGGGTGGCTCGCCTTAAAAATTAAATATGTGGACATGGCCATATGGATTAAGGCGATTTACCTTAGAAAATTAAATATGCGATACGTGACCAAATTAAAGGACAAGTTGAATTTATTGTATATGGTCAAATTGAGGGGCGACCTACCCTAAAAATTAAATATGCAC